TTGATGGGAAGAGGCGGAAGGAAGGGAAGAAAGGTGATAAAGAGAAAAGATGTGAACAAGAGATGTGTTAAGCTTAAAAATGCCCGCGTGGCCAGACAACAGTCACGCGAACCTGGAGAGGGTGGATCATCAAAGTCTTTTTCTGACTTGTCTTTGTCCTTCATCTTCAAGATTGTCACCCATCGCCCTCTCCAGGACCACAGGAGCCACGCACACCCGTCTTCACAAAGGGCGAGGCGTAGTTACGCGCTCTCTTTCGGCAATGACGTCTGTCCTGATGACCATGGCTGGGCGCACTGTCTACATTCAACTCTACAAAGACTGACACGTTCTCATCGCTTTGTTATCTTTGGTTTAGAAGCAAGCTTCCCCAACGACTACGGCGCCCTCGCCTCGTATCTTTGTTCCCGTTCTACGCAGGCAAGTCGCGGTTATCTCCTTGACTGACAGGAATGGCGAGATTAGGGTGCATGTCAGCATGTACAGGTTTATTTTTGGCCATGCTTCATGTTTCTCTTGTTTTACTAAAAAGACAGGAACAGATACAATAAATCGCTCAACATTGCGTCCATATGTTCCATGTATTGCTATGTGCTACTACTCTTCTGGTTAACAAGATAAGTGCATCAATATAAAACAATGGTGTATTGTACTGCATGGTTAGATCTGCACTATTCTACTCTATTTTCCTACAGGCGCATAGTACAGGTGAAGTATATGAAAGTACCCTTAACAAACCACATAGGAGGTTCTCCGCTGGGTGCAATCGATAAAAGAAGCCATGTGGCACAGACACAGACATCTCACTTTTTTTCCATTGAATGTCATGTCGCACGCGTTTATGCCTTTTCTTTTTCATTTTCATTGACCTCCTCCGCTCACGTTAATCATTCATTCACCACACTTGGACCACTCCCGACCTATCACCAGCATGCCTTCCAATCACCGTATCCCTCTTACTTCCACCTCCACCTTCGATGTCGATGTCTCTCCCTCTATGAACTTGAATGGATACAGACGGGCCAGGCGACCAACTCAACAAGGTTGCGGCCGACCAAGTCTGTCACGTTCTCTGCAACCGATCCTCCTCACCCTCCTCGCTTTCCACTTCCACCAAGCGCAAGCGGGCCAACACTATCACCACCAAACCCAAACCCAATACCATCACCCCCTCCACCTCCTCCTCTTCGTCCTCCTCTTCCTCTTCGTCTTCTTCCTCCATCACCAGGTGTACCACGTGCCATAGAACCGATCACCAAAGGTCGACAAGTCGTTATCGTCCCTACTATAAAGAAAAACAAACGGTAATCAGGCTAAACAGAATACAATTACTCGGATCCTCGCTTCTTTGCAGCACAACTCAATTTTATAATGGTAACAACTGTGAAACAAGCTTTGATACTATTTCAGACGAGGATGCTTACGCTGCAATTGCTGACGTGGTTCAATCGTTCGAGACTACAACTCAGACAACGGTTGAGTGGGCGGGCGAGGGAAGTGAACATGGGCCATCGATCAGGCGGCGGAGGCATTGGTATCGGGAGAATGCTTCCAGCCTGATGCCTACCATTCCTACCCATTTAGGTAACATATGCGACAACGACGACATGCTGAAGGAGAACAGCCGGCGGACACAGGCTGTCCCAGTCACGCATGATCGTGGCAGCCACACATGGTTCCAACCCAACGCCAACCATTCCGACCTATTTAGGCAACGTGAGCGAGCTATTGCCATTGCATTGCATAATGCCAGCCTCAGTCCTCTGCTATGAAATTTAATGCTTGCATACAACTTGGTCACCATCGTACAACTCATTCGGATTACCTTATGAGCAGGCAGCGCATGATCGTTGTAGAATCTCTTTCTCCTACTCCTTCCACAGTCCTTGCTGCTCCTGCTGCTTCTGTTGCCCCTGCTGCCTATGTTACCCTTGCTGCACATGTTTCCTTTGCACTCATAATGTTCCTGTTGATCTACATGTTTTTGGAAATAGAATAGCTGCTGTTAAGGAGCAGGGCGACACAGTGTACATGATCTAGGGATTGATGAGCGTGGTCGCTCTCATTGGGGTGCTTTACATTGGACAGAGGTAAGCAGTTACGATAACACCTACAACTATTCTACATTCTTCTTTCTTTTTATTGATGCGCGATTTAATTATTTATTTTGAATATGCAGGAGCATGTCGAACGCACAGTCGCTAATCTACGCTTCTCTGTATGCTGCTAAGAGTCAAAATGCCAGCCATCGAAGCATCCCTTGCTGAATTGCAAAGCCTTTTCAGAGGTATTTCTTGCAACCACCTGGACCTTCAACAGTGTCTTTGCCTTTACATCCTTTGATACCAGTACAAAATACCACGACATGCGTTGACCGCCTGGCAGAGGGAAAGCGAAAAGAAAAAAAGGTATTGTGAGAGCGATAGAGGACTTTGGGAGGATGGAGATATGGCACGTACATTGCTAGGGCGACGGTCGAATAGGGGAAGACCCAAGGAATAACACCTCGAGAGTGGAAGGTGGGTTTGAGCAAAGGAGGAATACCGACAGGATTTGGACCGCCAAGGCAACGAGTCGATTTGTCAAACAAGGTCTGAGTGAGGCGGACGAGATGGTTGTACAGTAAGTTCATGGCAAGACGGTGTTGCATTTGGTGGAAGAAAGGAGACTGCTGCATAAAATTTTTGACCGAGATCTCGACTGACAGAGGGCTCATCAGACCCGACAGGTCGCGTTGGGGATGCGGAGGGCTGGCTCGGTGCTCGCCACTTCCTGGCATTCATACGACCCAAGTTGTGTAACTATAGGCATTCGAGCTCCCAGGGGTCCCGTCTGACACCTCCTTCCCGTGGCTGTGGCTTGGATTAGTTAGGCCTGGCACGCCGGCACGATTTGTGGAAATCTGACGTTAAAAAAAAGAAAGGGAGGGCAATACGAAATAGAAAAGCGAGTGAGAAATGAGGAACTGACAAACACAAATAAAAATTTTAATATTCAACCACCACCACTTTTTAATCAATTCACACTTGATCCACACCTCCACGAGCGAAGCCGCGGGTACTATTCTAGTTGAGTTTACATAAAGTGTAATAAGATCGAAACAAGACAGGTTAGCTCTTCGTTATCACATAATGAGATGACATGGAAAAAGGAAATCGATCTAACACACTATGCTCCACTTTCCGCCTTCCCGCCGCGAACTAAGCGGAAAACTCGCTAAGAAAGAACCAGCGATAATGTGTTTAAGCATTCAAACACAAACTACCATCCTATTCACACTCCACTTTCCGCCTCTCCGCCGCGAACTAAGCAGAAAACTCGCTAAGAATGAACCAGTGTTTTAAGAACAGAATTACTATAGTCGGAGTTCTGCCCGATGTACAAGGAACTATTCCACCCAAGTCGAAATTCATTACCTGAGAGAGAGAGAGAGAGAGAGAGAGAGAGAGAGAGAGAGAGAGAGAGAGAGAGAGAGAGAGAGAGAGAGAGAGAGAGAGAGAGAGAGAGAGAGAGAGAGAGAGAGAGAGAGAGAGAGAGAAAGGTGAGAGGGATGAGAAAAGGTGAGAGGGATGAAAAAAGGTGAGAGGGATGAAAAAAGAAGTGTAAGGATGGTGAGTGATAAAGAGGCGTGATGAAATGGGAGGATGGCGCAGGAAGGTGCAAAACCGTTAAAAAGTAGCGTCGAGTCATCGTGCTCTGCTATACCTCCGTAACCTATAACATCATGCTGAGCGCAGAGTGAGGCGGGCGATCTACTAACTTCGGTGACGTAATTCTCGCGCTCGCGCCCACTGTCCTGTTTCCCCCTTTCGTAAATCCCATCCCTTTCGTAAGTAACAGCCTCTTTTCTTCCATGAGCAAGGATAGGCGTTGGCGACTCTATGGACATGCTCTCTGAAAGGACTGGCTGCTGGCCGCAAGGACTTGCAAGTGTTCATGGAGTGGCCGCGTATGGTGGACTGCATCATTTTGTATGCAATCCCTGGCGATTGCCCGTTATTGTTAGGGTATGACCCAGGGTGTCGGTCTGCGTCGCCATAGTCAACGCAAAGTAATGGAGAGTCTTAGCCTCACAAGGCGGCAGGGCCATTACATTCTTGTTCATGTTTTTTTATGACAGGGGAGTGTGGCGGCTCTGTGGACATGCTCTCCGAAAGGACTGGCGTAAATAGTGTTCATGGAGCGGCCGTGTTGGTGGGCGGCATCATTTTGTATGCAAACCCTGGCCGAGCTCGCTATTGCCTAGGGTGAGGCCCGGGGTGTCGATCATCATCGCCATAGTCACACTATTACCTACCCCTAGCGGTTTCTTGGCACGAAGCGGCAAAGGGTTCATTTTAGGAGACGAGTCAACGTTTTTTGTAGTAATGCGCATTACCAAATGGATTGGTCTTTTCTCTCACTTAATTCTGTTTTTCACGTATACAATAGTAAGACGACACAACGAAGGACAGCGCCCACGGCATACCTTAGCTTGTCGGCACTTCCACACTTTATTCAGAACGCCACCACTTCTCTCTCTTTCTCTGCGCCAACACAACACCGCCTCCACACACGACAAAGGGTCACGCGCACGACACACCAAGTTTTTCACTCCAACAATCTGAGCAAGGTCAGCCAGCGTCCCACCATTTCTATCAACGATCAACCCCCCCCCCAGTCATCACCTATCAACGACACCAACACCTGCACCGGCATGGCCACAACAGCAGGAGGACCGACCCACATAACGAGACTCAAAAAAAAGAAAGCAGACCCCAAAAAAGGTGTGTATCGCGATATCCACTTAAAGGCGTGGTAAGAGATGGATTAGTCAAAAACATCATAGTAACATGTATTGCTCTTGCCCTTTATTTCTGGAGTAGATTTGTGGAAGCGAGAGTTGGCCAAAGTGGGATATCGTCAGTACTTCGACAATGTCGCCGATCCTGTCCATATCAACTTGGTTTCGTTTCTAAAGTCCAGTGCTTCGTCTTGCCAGGATCGCAGAAAACTCCACCATGACTGGTTCTACACCATCTTGCCTATTCTCCAATAGAGCTCGCACGCGTCGCTGAAACAGAGAGCAAATGAATTGGTGACTGCTTGGTCGGATGACAGAAACTCACAGGAAGTCCGCGACTTTTGGGATGCTATGAAGGTTCAGGACGCCAACAAAAACCATCTCCAAGTGCTGCATCAACAACTTTATGTGCGCGAAAACGCTGTGGCCCAGGAGCATACCGACACACTCTTGGCGCAGATCGAATCAAGTAAGCTTGTTTGTAGTTTTAAGGATATGATGTCCACACGGGCTTTTTTTTTTGTACTGGTATAGATGTGTTATCAACCACATTGTTCCGTATCTCATCCAGGAAAAGATTGACAGATGAACCCGCAGGATCGGAGCACAAGTCGCGCAAGGTTGTAATTCTGGATGAGAGCTTTTCAGACAACGGGAGCCTCTACACCGCCTCAGCCCCTTCTTCCGCGCCGCCCTCCGCCCGATCATCCTTGAACCCAAACGATTTCCAATATGTCGACCATCTGGTTGGCCCAGGGCAGTCCTCGTCCAAGATTCAAGGCGAGCCTTTCGTGGTCGATGGTATCAACGTTTCAATGCTCTGTATGAGAGCACGCAAGGAGGCGATCAAGAACCAGTGCGAGCTCAATGATGTGTCGGAACTTCTGTAAGTGATCAAGCATATTAATGATTCCTACGTTTGAATCGACAAAATCGGCATCGTGATCATTAATATTTTTTCTCCTGTTCCTCTTGTGGAATTAGGTACCTCAACTTTATTTTCGACAATGCTGCGCTCATTAGATTACTCCCTCGTGTCGCAGCAGACAGGATCCTGCGCGTTTCCTTGCCGGCGCCTTCCCATCAACAATCAATAATGTTGGTAAACACAGCCTCCTATGCCGCCCAACATAGTGTCCAGGAGAGCAAACGGTATGTGAGAGAACTCGACGACAACGGCGACAACTTTGTGAAGACATTGTTGAGCTCGTATTTGGAAAGCACGGCGCTCTGGAAAACACCAACGTCTCACCCTCCATATCAGCCATTACCACTGAACGAAGACTCGTTTACGCATGGCTCGGTTCAGCAGGGCATTGTCACTCTTCTTCAGGACTTGGATGTTGTCGATCATTGGTAAGTTTGGTGCTAAACCCCTGGACCAAGAATTATTGAACACCAACTTTGAATTTGTGTACTGGTTTTAACATTGGTTTATTATACGATGCATTCTAGGAATCGAGACGCACTTCCTACACCCCGAGGGTTTGAGGAAGTTTATCAAGCAGACTATTTCGCCGAGTGTGAAGGCTTTCCGATTTGCGTTGTGGAGATTAAGAAGCCAGACGCCAAGGATGACCCTCTTGAGGGTGACGCTCGAAAGCTCCCCAGCATGCTGAAGCTATCCCATGATCGTTTGCTGGACGCTGGTGTTGAGTCACCTGTTGTTGGTCCCCTGTTAGAAGGCGAGTTGTTTGTTTCTGTGATTGAAAGCATTCTTCCAATTTTTTCGTTGACATCAATCTAACCCCTCTTCTTTTCTCCTCTACTTTTCTGCTCCTCATTCTCCCCAGGAACTCGATGCTCAATTTCGACTATAGATTTGTGTGAGGAGGCGCTCTACATCCACTGTCACGAGACAAGAGCTTGCTCTTGTGACTTCGCCCTAACAAATATAAAAGGGCCTTAGATAGTAAATCTATAGCTCTTTACTTGGTATCGCCAATAACATACGCCTTAACCTATTCATCATACTCATTTCCTAGCCCTTGATCAAGGTTCTCTTTATCTACTTCATTCTATTGCTTGGTCTGCTTTCTTGACAATACCAAGTCATACACCTAAAGAACCTTGGATCAAACTTTGTCTGTTTTCTATTGATATACTTCAGCGCTCCCAAAAAAAAAAAAAAAAAAAAAGCCTTTTCCACAACAAAACCAAACCCTATCTTCTTCAAGTTCTTTCCACTTTTACTACCATCTTCTGTACACAACCCACTACCCTCAGAAACTACAACAACTCTTCACTTTCCGTATCAACCACAATGCTACCCGATAGTGAGATCCTTACAGCCAACGCGCGCTTCCAAGCACTGATGGACCGAGTAGCCACACTTGAACAAGTAGTTCAGACGGTCGCTCCCTTGCAAGCCAAAGTCACCGAACTCGAGGAGACTGTTCAGAAGTACCGTGATATGCTGGACTTCATTCTTTCGAACGAAGATTTCTTCACAAGCCTGACCGTCAACCTCAATCCTCGATTACTCAGCCTCGAACCCAACGTCCAGAAGATGACGTCACAATTACCACCCATCACTCGCGCAGAACTAGGCAAATTATTTTATGATCACAAGACCGATGTCACCAACACAGTGAGTGCCATCTTCCAATCAACTACACCTCACTCCAGCAACAGCTCCCCTTCGAGGCCAAAAGTAGCACCCCCTGCAGTCTTCTCCGGCAAGCGTAAAGATTGGAAAGGGTTTCAGGCTCAGCTGGAACTCTTCTTCATTGCAAACGAGACCCTCTATCCGAACGACCACGACCGCATTGTGCTGGCTATCTCGCGCCTCGGTGATACTGCAGCGTTCAAGTACATGCAGAGATACGTTCCGTCCTTCAAGTTGCCTGTCGAGGAGAGACCCGCATGTATTTCTAACCTGGATCAGTTCTTTGCTCTTATGAGTAAGAACTTTGGAGTCTCCAATGCTCACGTCCTAGCAGAAACCCAACTCCGTCAACTTAGACAGCGCGGTTCTGCCATCGACTATACAAACCGTTTCGTCAACCTTGCAGCGGATACAGCATGGAATGATAGCGCGATGATTTCACAGTTCCGCCTCGGCCTGAAGAAGTCTGTTCAAGAAGCCATGGCAAACTACCCCGAGCCACCTACCTTTGCCGAGTTTTCACAATTGGCTATCGACATCGACAACCGACAGTACGGCTATGCAGTGACCCGTTCCGGCAACAAATCTTCCAGCACTCCGTCCCGCTCCACCACTGCCCACACTTCTACTACCACTCAAGCCTCATCCACCCCAGCTACCGCGTCCACCCCTGCTACCTCAGCTCCCGCGACCACTTCGATGGACATGGATCTCTCGCATGCTCGCCATGGTCCTTTGCCACCGTCTGAGCGTCTTCGTCGTCAAAAGGAAGGACTGTGCACCTACTGTGGTTCAGCAGATCATTGGCTTGACGACTGCCCCAAGAAACCTGCAAAGCCCTCGTTCAAGAACGCCTCAAAGGCAACAGCCTCGATCTCGGCCCTTCAGCCTATACAGACTAGCGACCAGCCCGATGCAATCTCTTTCCAATTGGAAAAAGATTCAGCCTAGACAGTAAAGTTGGAGTGCGTCTGGGCGAGCTGTATAACAAATCTCCAAATGATCCTCTGCTATCCCCTATCACTATTCCAATCACTCTTCACTTCCAAAACTCCTCACTACCAGTCCATGCAATGATCGACTCAGGAGCAACTATCTCATTCATTCATCAAAATCTAGCACAACAGCACAATCTCCCACTAGCACAACACTTATTACAAATCTCTCTTGCCAATGGTTCAACACATACCTCTCATCACGCCACTACATTGGTTATGCAATCCCACTCACAACACTTTTCCACACACACTTTTCAACTCATTGCACTTGGCAATTATGCCATCATTCTTGGCATGGACTGGCTCCGCTCACACAACCCATATATCGACTGGAAGAAACGAACCATTACTATGCCATGCCTCCATCAGCACACACTCGACAAGCTTTCCCCCCTTGCACAATCAACAATGCCTCGATCCATCCCTACCTTCCAGGAACAAGACCGAATCCTTCTGCCACCTTCCAAACCCAAATCCACTTTGGTTCCCACCAAGTACACCTCAGGATCCAACCAACTATCCAAATCCGCCAAGAACCGATCAGCAACCAACATCTCCATTATTAGCAATGCACAACTCCGTCAGATCCTCAAGACCAATCAAGGAGTCGGATACATGCTCGACGTCTCCCGAATCGAAGAACTCGCCAGCGCAACCACCAACGACAACTCTATCCCTGAATCAAAACCCACAGTCCAACTGCCCGAAAAATATGCCGAGTATGCTCAGGTATTCTCCAAGATGCAAGCCGATAAGCTACCGCCACATCGACCCTATGATCACAATATCCCTGTGGTCGAAGGAGCCACCGTGCCATTTGGACCAGTATACAACCTATCACAAACGGAACTGCAAGTTCTACACGAATATATTCAAGAAAACCTTGCAAAAGGGTTCATCCGTCGATCCGAGTCTCCAGCTGGAGCCCCCGTCCTTTTGTTAAAAAGAAAGATGGTTCCCTCCGCCTCTGTGTCGACTATCGAGGCCTCAACAAGGTGACTGTCCCCAATCGATGCCCTCTGCCGCTGATCTCCGAAACTTTCGACCGACTAGGCAAAGCCAAGTATTTCACCAAGCTCGACATGCGAGGAGCATATAATCTTCTCCGCATCAAGGAGGGCGACGATTGGAAGACGGCATTCCATTGCCGCTATGGCCACTTCGAGTATACAGTCATGCCCTTCGGACTAATGAACACTTCCGGAACTTTCCAAGCTTTCGCCAACGACGTCCTCCGCGATTACCTAGGTGACTTTGTCGTGCTATACATTGACGACATTCTCATCTACTCCGACACCCTTGAGGAGCATACCGCGCATGTTCGCAAAGTTCTCAGCAAGCTCCAAGACGCTGGTCTATGCTTAAAACTCGAAAAATGCTCGTTCGAAAAGGACAAAGTCGAATTCCTCGGCTTTGTGATCGGAACTGACGGTATTTCTATGGACCCCGCCAAGGTTGCCGCCATTCGCGATTGGCCCACTCCCTCTTCCGTTTCGGATGTCCAGTGCTTTCTGGGTTTCTCCAACTTCTACCGTCGTTTTGTACGGAAATACTCCCATATCGCCGCGCCTCTCACCGCGTTACTCAAGAAAAATACTAACTTTGTCTGGACCGCTATCGCACAAGCCGCTTTCACGGAGCTCAAGTCACGTTTCATGTCTGGCCCCGTCCTTCGGCATTTCCAACCAGATCGCCCCTGCATCATTGAAACTGACGCTTCTGACAAGGCCCTCGGCGCTGTCTGCAGTTAGCGTGACCAAGATGGACGCCTACATCCTATCGCTTACTACTCCCGAAAACTCTTGCCTGCTGAACTCAACTATCCGACTCGGTTATTCTAACACCCCCTGTCAGTGCAAAATTAACAGGGGGTGTCTGACAGGGGAATTTCAAAAAAAATCTTCCATATGTTTTTGGTCTTTTTTCAATTCTAACAGGGGCTCTTTGAACAGGAGCATGGAAAGGAATCAAAATTCCCTGCCAGAATAGAAATGCTTTTTGCACCTTCTTTTTGCCGCGCTGCTGGTAAAAAGGTCGTTTGACCAGTGCTATCCGTCGTTCTCAATGGACTTCTCCTTCCCTCGCCGTGCATCGAGATTCTCGTCAAAGAGTCAAATCCAGGCACCATCGGCTGTTCAATGATCCCTCTTGACCATTTCAGGCACCCCGAATAATACCAAAAAAAAGTCCATGTGCATACACTTCACCATTTTTCTCGTCTGCGGGTTTTGTTACTTGCACGCCTTGCTTGATATCTCGCTGGAGAACGATCACTATAGTCTTTGTTTAAGTAGCTTTTCATTCCGCTTATCCTCTAACCTTTGTCTCTCTCCGTCTTTGTCTCTCTCCATCTTTGTCTCCCTCTCTCTCTTTGTCTCTCTCTCTCTCTTTTTGTCTCTCTCTCTCTCTCTTTGTCTTTTTCTCTCTCGCTATCTTTGTCTCTCTCTCTCTCACTTTCTTTGACTTCCTCTCTTTCTCTCTTTATCTTCCTCTGTCTCTCTTTCTTTGTCCCTCTTTCTTAGTTCTGTTGAAGAAAATAAAAATAAGAAGCATTAAATGCCCCATTTCTAGTCGTTCAAGCTGCTTCTTCCTCTCCTTCACCCTCTCGCCTAGTATCAAATGAGCATGCCATGGTTGTAGAGCAATTGTATTAGAATAGAAATGATATAGAGTCAGTTTTATTATGCAAGGCATCAGAACATCAACATCTCAGCTATTCTTCTATCTCTTCCGTCGGATCTCATTCTTCTCTTGGCGCGCTTGTCGCTACGCTAGCAAAGCTTAAAAAGACTTAATTCAGTACGGATACTACCAGAGTTGGAGAGACTAACGGGACTGAACGACCGGTGGAGCAACCTCTGGGGCGAAGGGGATGCCATATTGCATGAGTCTGGGGACACTGCTCGATGCTGCCGCCGTTTACGAACGCCAATAATCCTCTTTGTCCATTCTGGATTCCATGACACATTGTTCTTCCTTTCCATAAGCATACTCTCCAAACGCTTCATCCTAGAGTTGAGGAACTAGAAATGCTGATCCCGCATAATTAAATTATCTAAACGAGAGATAATGGACTGATATTGCTCCTGAGTGATGGTGCCGTTGGAAATCAGGGAGGTAGAGGGACCAGGGGAAGCAGAGGAGATTGAGGAAGCGAAAGAAGCAAATACCGTGCCTGCGATGGCGGGGGACGAAAATGCAAGTGAAAAGTAAAGAGAAGGTTAGACATCTACAGGATCTTCAGCATCACTGACAAGCTAAGAGTCAGGAGTCCTCATGGACATCATGTTGCACCGAGGCTGGAGCAGGTACCATCCTGGCAGAGAAGTGTCCGTTTTCAATTGTATCTGTGCTTTGGAGTTTGTCTCTCCACATCGTCTCAATCTTTGCACATGGGCGTCTATTCATATTGGCAATGAAGGCAAAGAACAGATGG